CAAACAAACTCACAACCCTCCTTAGCTTGTTTTCTGTGACAGATCTGACCTGTACAATCCAAGAGTTGTAAGAATGAAACACAGTTATAAGGGATGTAATCCACTCAATTTAAATTCCATTTATTTACTAGCTACTGTATGTTTGTGCCTCCCAGATTTTTTGGGAAACTTTCCTCTTCCCAATGACAGGAACTTGAATCACTCTTCTTAGGTCTATTGGTGTTGTCAAGAGAATTGTTACATAATCCTCATGCAGAATATGGTTATCAGGTAATTTAGGGAGATGGAATTCTTTTTTGAAATATAATGTACCATGTATTATGTAAAAAATCAACATAAGGTGAACCAATATCTAGCCTTGCTTGAAATATGACTGATAACCTGCCCAAGTAATTGCATTTAATCTATATTGAGGTATTAAGGGTAACATTTTAATTATTAGCAACAGCCTCTTATCCCAAATGTTTCCATAACCTATTTTTAAGGACAGAACCTAACTTTGGTTTTAAACTTATAACTACACACAATGTCCTTTGTGGGATATTCAAGGTATATTCTACTCCTACCTCTAAAGTAAGCTTGTTCCTATGCCAAAATGTTCTGTGTACTAGCCAATCCAGTAGTTACTTAAAGAGTGCCTTGCATAAAGTTTACTTGCCATACTCCCCTGTCATCTTGAATGTTTTTAGTTTTTATGTATAGGGCTTGTTTTCGTAGCTTGACTTTTTAATTAATTAATTAATTAATTTTAATTAATTAACGGGGGTATTTTTTAACTGTTTGTGGGTTTTACTTTCATTGTGAGCCACCCAGAGTCACCCGCTGGGGGAGATGGGCAGCATACAAATTTAATAAATAAATAAATAAATAATTCAGCAAACTAATAATGCAATAATTGGCAAGGTCAATTTGCTTACTTTTGGTTCTGTAATAATATGTCCCTAGTCTTCCAGTATCTACATTACTCAATCTTTGGGGCAAAAGGGCTGTGTGTAATTTAAATACTTCAGGAAGAATCAAAACACCACTATTTGTTTCCCCCTTTTTCAGCTGCCTATTTAGGTTTTTTTTAATTTGTTTGTTTTCAATGGAGGTGACAAAGGGCCAGACTGGTAAACAATCAGGCTAACAGTTGAGATGACCTGCTTTAAACACTGACCCATATTGTTCTTCCCAAATTACATGAGAAATAATACTCTCTAATCTGTATCAGATTATAAATTTGACTATTCTATAATATGCCAGAAAGTCCTTATACATGGTTGCCTGCATTAAGCTCAGTCATATATTATATTGGGCTTTCAGTTAAAAAAAAAAAAGATGCTTTGTTCTGATCCTTCATCATATTTAGATGATTTGGGAGATTAGGCCATTTTGCTTTTTCTATGCCCTGTAGTATATCCTGCATAAACCTCAGAGATGATAGGTTGCAGACAACAATAAATTGGCTTTCAAGATCGTTTCTAGATTACAGATCCTAGCTTGCTTAGAATAAACTGGGACTTAGTTTTACCCATGGCATACTGACCAAAATTTGCTGGGGTGACCAATAGTGTCCTTATTGTTAGCTGGGAATGCTGTGTAAGGCACAGGTGCAAATATTGGTTACCCCATCTATATCATTTCTATTTTACTAAAAAACATTATGTAAAAAGCTTTGATTGACCAAAGCCATAATGGATTGTGGAAATCAACATCTATGGGCCCATTTAGGGACAAACATGGCATATGGTAGATGTAAGAACTTGGGATATAAGAGGGATAAATGATAACGAATATAAATTAAATTAAAGAAATGAAAGAAAATAGATATGTTGTATGCTAAGGGATAGGATGTATTGCATCTGAATGAAGTTGGCCAGATCTTGAGAGGTGGAGCTTATTATTATTATTATTATTATTATTATTATTATTATTATTATTATTATTATTATTATTC